TGCGTCGACTAGTTACTACCCTGCATTCGGCACAAGAGTGTCTTCATGCAGCTACTTTGGGCGATACGTACCACGAATCTTCGGCACTACGAGGTAAAGGTTGCACGCCAGTACATCAGACAAGGCCTGCCGCTGCGATAGAGCTAGTGGGCCGCCGCTCCAGTGACTCGATGACCGCTATAACACACACTACCCCTAGTTTTCATCCGCACCCTGCGTGCGTGCCCCAATTCCGTTAGTTGGTGGGGTAAGCACTTGCAGCCGCAGCGATTTGTTTGAAGCTACCAAGCTTGAAATGACGCTTTGTAACCGCAGTGACTATTGTGCCCTGAAGTGTTACTGTCAATCTTTCTGGTCCTATGTCGGACATATAATTGAATTATCCTTCCATTCGCAGTTCAGTATGTCGCTAGCCACATACCGCGAATGTTGGTCCGAGATGCTCCAGGTTTTGTTCACTCTCGGCACATTTACTACATTCGCTTTTCACTGCGATTTCCGAACTCTTCAAGTTTGCTCATTACCCCTCGTTGCTTCTATTTCAAAAACTTTTTGTTCAGCCAGTCGAGAAATTTCTCGGTGTTTTAAAATTATAATAAAAGTGAATCCATTTCAGACGTTTCTGGCGAACTATGATGTAGTCGAACCTACACTAACCGAGAAGTGCTCCTTATCCGCGTCAGATGAAATCCGAATATTCGCGATGACCGGGGTTTCTCGTAAGACAAATGATGATCCAAGCACAAGCACATAGACAATTTTTTTTCAAACCCGATCGTGGTCGGCTTAATTTTTTAGTCAGTAGTCGAGTATTTCGTTTCCTCTATACCTCCCTCCTCACGCCCCGATTGGTGGTTGCCTATCGCACACCATCCCAACCAACTGATTGTATGGTCTCCTGATGAAGCTTGCTCTCTTAATTGGATTCGAATGTCGGCGTCTCCGCTCCCCTATTTTTCATGTTTAAACCACTTCTATCGCGCTGATTACCTTCAGTCACTTCATTATTCTCGAAACTGCGGTAGTCCTTTAATAGACATTGTATTCTTTTTACGGCGCAGAGCAGCACCGCACGCAAACGTTTACACTTGCTTGTTGCGTTTGCTGGAAAAATTGAAATGTTTACGCGAAATATGCTTTAAACGAGCACTTCAAATAAAGACAACGAAGCAAGCTATAAATAAATGTAAAATTGGCATTGGCTCTTTCGCATTATATTCTGATTCTAGTGGTTTCCGTGTCGGTCCGTGGTCTTTAGGATCACAAGTCTGCCTTCTAATCCGCGGTCGCGGGTTCAAGCCTGCGTAGGAGACTGGGTGACCCTCACATTATCTTTAGCTCACATGCGTCTGTTGGTGGTTCCGCTGCAGCGGGGCATCGGTACTGCATACCGGCGTACTCTTGATACCTTCTGTGTCATTCCACGCGGTAGGGCAGCCCCAGCATGTCTGTGATGTCCGTTGGACGGGGAGAACACCTCCATGAAACCGACGGAAAGCAGAGGCCCATTGATTTGTCTCACATTGCGTCTACTGCCTGAGTACATGAGAAGTGTGACTTTGTGCCAAAATTGAACGACACTTGTCCTAAAGACCGCTGGTGTGCAACCATCCCGTGTGTTTCCTGTTCGTGTTCCCGTCTGTGTTCTGATTTATACTCTCCCCTTACAAATTCCCTGTTCAGAAGGCACTTTTAGCGAGCATATGTTTTCGATACTTCTTCATACTAGTACAATTATATACCAATCAACACAATCAGACAGACCATTGAAGTTCGGTGCTTGATCATATTACCGTTTTATCCTTGGTCCCCAAATTCTGCCTTCCTAGCAGAATAGATAAAAGATTAGCAATTAAAGCTCAGTTCAAACACGTATTCTCGCAGACCTCACAATTAGTTCCGTTCTCCAATCTACACGTAGAAGAGTTTAAGTCATCACTAGTGCACGCTTGTTACCAATATCGTCGTGCTCGGATAACACAATACTCCCGTGAAGCAAAGCACATCCAAACTTTGAATCGACTTACAACTGATGATGAGGTCTTGCTTTCTAGACCAGATAAGGGTTCTGGTATTGTCTTTATAAATAAATTGGACTAGCTTAGTAAGATAAACAATATACTGGCAGAATCGAAAAAGTTTACAGAGACCGTGGGCGAGAAAGGTATGATAAAGCAATCAGAGAGCCAAATCTGCAACTGTCTCAAGAAGCTAGAAAAACGAAGGTTTCTGAGTAGGTGCGGCCTGTTAGTACAGATATTCCCAGGTTCTACAGTCTACCCAATACACATAAGCCAAATGTTCCGCTGTGGCCAGTTTTAGATATAAAGGATTCACCGTACCGCACTACAGCACGGTGGCTAGTGGAGTAATTTGAGCTTATCCAATAGTTCATAGCAGCGCACAGCCTGAAGGATACTTTTGAATCCGTAGATGCAATAAGAGATTTAAGCGCCTCGGGTCTGATCATGTACTCGCTGAATGCCGTCTCTTTGTTCACAAATCTGCCCTTATTTAAATCAATAAACTACCTCTGCGAGTACGTTAATGGGAGCGGGATAAACATCGACATACCTACTGTGGCCCCGAGAGAAATGTTGCTTAATTGTTTAATGTCCATTTCATATTTTACGGGGAGATATACCGGTAGAGAGATAGAGTGGCGATGGGTTCCCACCTGGGCCAGTACCCGCTGATATTTTCATGGACCGCCTTGAGCAAGGGAGTTTGAAATCAGCCATCTTCAGTCTCAGCTTCTACTTCTGCTAGGTTCATGATAATTTGTTATGTTTCAGTCCCATCAGAATATCGAAGATATTACCGAAACTTTTAACTGAGCCCACAAAGCGATTCGTTTTACCGCTATGGTAGAAGAAAAATGCCTGTTTTCACTTTTTTGACGTGGGCCTAGAGAAACGGTAACGGGAGGCTACAGTGCCACTTATATCGAAAGGCACCTGGAATGGCCAGTACACGAACTTCCACAGCTTCATGCCACTGAAGTTGAAACAGAACTTAATTATTAACCTAGTCAGTCAAGCGGAAAGAATCTGCTCGCATTATACACTTTCAGAGGAACTACAACGCATGTGCGCGATGCTGCGGTAAAATGGTTATCCAGATCGCTTCATAAAAATCCACCTGGAGCGGAAGAAGAGCTCATCAATAATTTTAACGGCTAGAAGAAAAGCAATTTTCCTGCAACTTCCCCACAAAGGGGAAATCTTGGCGGAAGTTCTTAACCGTCGTCCATCGCAGCAGGTTAGACGTGCTTTCCTGGCAGCAAACTTGTAGACATACTTCACCGGCAAACCGATGGTGAGGCTCAGTCTCAAAGATAATAGACCTGTCCACGGCAAGTCCATGTGCATCTGTTCATTCACCCGTTCCGGTGGAGCAGGATACATTGGTCGTATGACTAAGGGTTTATCCGAGAGAATGAAAGAGCACCGCCCCGCATGGCTAACGGCTGGAATCCGATGAGTATGCAACTCCTCCATAGCTGCCCACTTCGCCGACACAGGGCACAAACCCAAACCAGCCGACGCATTCGAAATCATCTACAAAGTCCCTGATAATCGATCGAAGTAACTGCGCAAACGGATGCTAGAAGCCGCTGAGGCCTTTGCAATCCGGCTGTATGAACCGAATCTTCGCATTCAGAAGTGATTCATTCAGGCCTTACGGCCTGACGGACGCTGATCCAACAGCACGTGCCTGAGCCATGAGCCTCGCGGGATGCCTGTGGAGTGGAAACACTCACTCGACCGCTTCGTTCAGACACTACAATTTGTCCCGGATGCCATTCATGTAACATTGACTGGTGCAAACTTTCTCAACCTTGTTTAGCAAGGGCCGTTTCGCTGACATTCAATCTCCCGTACAATTTAGCGTCATTCTAACGTTATTCTCTTTTGTGTTTTGGAACACATTTATTGTTTAGTAACTTAATTCCATTGGCCGTTACCGTCTCCTGTATTCCAGTGTTCTTCACTATGGACTGGTAACATTCGAGTTGCGCGTTATACTTCCAGGGGGGGGGCTGGATGGAATGCGCGCTGTTGGCGATTCCCGAAGGCCGAACCGGTCGTGCACCGCTTTTCCGGGCGTGTGATGGCTGTCTGATTGAGTCTAGATGTGATGAGCTACTACTTATCTCATCTTCTACTTGGTCATCATTTGGGATAGTTTCGGCGGTCGTGGTCCATGCACGCGTTACTTTAGCGGTTAGTGCACGACTACCGAGTAGTTCCCATGTAGTCGATCCGATAACGTTATATTCTTGACAGACTATATACAGCTGTCCACTTAACACGTGGCTCAGCTTTTTCCATCAAAACCCCCAAACTTTGGTTCGCTCTGTTCTATCGAAAATAACTGACTTTACGAGCGTCATTTGTTCCACACATGTACCGCTTCCAACTCTTAGTTTTCCAACGCACTGGGCCGTGGTCGACATTACTAGTTATCATGATGTCTATATTTGGGCATTTTGACGGTGGTCCATACGTCTTGCCTGTGCTCAGTTGCCACGTTATTGCCGAATCACATTTGGTCGCAGTTGGTGAGGTGTTGTGATCAAATGAACTTCATCTTATGGACCAACTTTGTATGGCTTCAAGCGCCCTGCTCTTTTTCATCTGACTCACGGCTTTGGGCTCTTCCTACTTCAGAACTTTTCTGAATTTCGCTACCCGACCTTTACCAATGTGCGGTAAGGAAGAGCCAGGGTGAAAGATAAATCACCGTACACTCAGGCTAATGTGACTGGCGATCGTTTCTCATTCACTCATGTTACACCGCTTGGCGTATCTCTCTCTCTCTCTGTTCTCTCTGTTATTTGTCTCGCGTCTTGTACTTTACCTCATTTGAGCTTGAAGATGCGGAAAGTTGACTTACTTCTCAATGGGCTTTTATTTGATTCTTCAGCTATGTTTTCTCTACCGCGTTATTAGTTGCATTGGTTATTTGACCTACTTCAATTTCACTTTTGGTTGTAGTCCCATCGCGCGAACAGTCTTTTCGCCATGGATACTGGATTAGCTACCCTCACTGTCCCAGCCGACTCAAACCAGCCTGCTCGTCGGTCGAGCCGTAACAAACGTCGCAAACATGGAAAAAGTCACCACTCCAGCAGACCAAGTCGATCTCAATCTGATGGCCAGGCGGTGCACAACGTTAGTGACGTGTGCAATCGCACTGACTTTGTCGGGGTGAACAATTCAACTGTCGGGCCACCTGCTATTAATTCAAGCGCCCGACTCACAGCCCCAGAGTCTCACTCCAAACCCAAAGGGTTCGGGAAGGTGAGCTTACTTTATTCGATGTTCAGCCGAGTTCAACTTTTCATATAAATCTCGTGCTTTTATTATCCGGCTGACCTCACCCACTCACATTTGCGCCGTAGTTGTTTACTGACGGCAGAAATCCATTCGAACTTGCCTCTGACGCTTTACACAGCACCATCGTATGTCTGCTTATATTTTTCTACAGTACCTCGCATTCACAAACATAAAACTCCCTCAAACTGCGTTATCAGATGGACAGGAGAGATGAACACTGTATGTATCACATTTCCTTTGGGATGGCTGAGCACCACTGACCCGGTGACTTTCTCCTAATCTCTTTTTTCGTTGAATGGATAAATAGTGAAAGGAGTAATTTGGACCCAATTTCAACAAATTTCATCACAGCCTGGGAAAATAGTAAACGGCCGTCTCACGCTTTCGTCACTTATCAGTCGCCCGGCAATTGGCTAATGAAATCCACGACCATACATTTTCGTGTCAGTGAGTATAACCACTGGGCCACGAGGAGGAGTGGCAATCACCGTGACAATACAGCCAGCTCTGGTGTGGCAAACACTTGTCCTCCACTGTGATGCGTGTTTCTAGTGTGCAACAGATGGAATTGGTCAACAGGACTTGAGCCACCATTATCGTACGGCATTATAATCTAGCTTGGGCAATTACTGTTTTTAGTAGGTAATGAATGGAGCGATTCGGATAGTATGGGTGAATCGCCCGATGAATCTGCATTGTGATTCCCGGTTGCTTTAACTTTTCAGAGAATTGTCGCATACTAGCCTCTTGTGTCCTGTATTTGCCTGCCACGTACATGCGTTGGTGAATCCTTTGGGGAAGCCTGTCGATGTCGACTGTGACCTTTCGTCGTATGTCAACTCGTGCTGTGTCCCACCCAAACTTGAAACTGCTCTACGAGATTATCCTTTGTAGCTGAGATTTCTCCCGCATTTCACCTCTTTTAGGTTCCTACTTAATCACTCTTGTTTTCATCTTTTACTTGGCATTGTACGCTCATCATATTGCGTATTATCATACCTACGAGAAAAACGAAAACCAGTACATCTGGCATTGGAACAATGTCTTCGCTGTGACGAAATTCGTTGTCTCTCAATATACACGTTTCTCCTTACTTCCTGTGTCTGTCCACGGTGTATCGGCTATGGTTTGCCCTTCTCCATTCACTCTATGTAAGCGTAAACTTTCCCTGACCTGATCCACTCCCTCGCTTGTAAGCTATTACTTTTTCATTTCCATCCTACTACATTCGCGATCATTTCGTGTTCTCTTAAACTCCACTTGAACGAACCGTTCGTTCGCAGTGTTGCCTTGTCACCTGTTATCAGGCGCTTGTTTTACAGGCCAATTCATTGGCTTCTCTTGGATTTTGCAAACACTTACATCTCCCTAGCAACTTGAATGATGTAGTGGGGAGGCCAAAACTGGTATTGCCTCGTCAGTATCGAACCGATAACAAGAAAATATTTACAACCACAGAGAGGGTGTGGCCGAACACAGTAGAGACAAGGATGGAGTGCAAACATGACATCCCCATGTGTTTAAGCTAGTCCAAGTCACAGAGTGCGTGTTTGAGCTGGCTGGCGTCGATAGCCTATGCAAACGCAGGAAGCAGGTGTTAACATGACTCAATATCCTTGTTAACTACTAATGAGTATGAGGATTTTTGATCAAATTTTACTGATTCGTCTCATCAGCTCACAAGTCAGGTAGTCTAACCATCACTCCAAGCCGAAGGGATGCGCACCGCTTTAAACATTACGACAGGATCAAACAGACGAGAAATGGCTGGTAGGTATCCACTTATGGATAGAACAGTTGGCTTTCGTGAGCATGTGCTAGAGAAACCGAGGACTCGGTGATCTTCCGCTGCCCCCATTTCAAACATATTCCCTTTCTTGAGTTCGACACGTCATCGGTCCTACCAATGTAATATGCTCCGCAGCTACTAGTGAATTGGTAGATGACATGAGAACCGACACCGTTGGGTTATCCATCACCTGACTTGGTGTCTGATTGCTGGTTCCAGGCTTTCAGTTGCAGCCACATCCGATGACTCTTCTTGTGAAAGCTACCATCTGACTTGCTCAAAGTAGGCTTGTATAAACTTTTTGTACTACAAATATCCTCATCCACTGAGACGTAGGGTATACGGCTGACTTAGCACCTGCCAATTTCCCACCATGCACGCGAATTTGTGTTGCAATTTCTGTGGTCTGTCCATTTGATTGTCGTCATCATACTCGCTTTTGGTCTAGCTACGTGTTAGGGCTTGCAGACTTGCAATGCTGCATTCCACGACTAGTTTTGAACTTGTTTAATCCCATCAGGTCGAGATAGAGTAGGATTATGACTCCGTCCCCGGTACTTAGGGATGTCAGTTGGAGTCTCTGCCCCTAACCCTCCAAGTCGCGGCGGGTCGATGACTTACCGTTGGGGGGATCATTTTGGAACACTCGTGTGAATAGATTCATGGCACGCAGCACCCGATCTTCGTCTGTTTTCGGTGCAGTCTAGTGACCGTTTTGACCAAAGTTCCACTTAAATTGCATTGCAGTTCCGATTGAGGTTGCGTGTCACAACGCGTGCTTCAAAATGACCCTCATTTTTCTCCCGATCTAGGTGCAGCAACCTAACAAAACTTTTGCCTTGAAAGCGATGCTTGCTGCTGCTTAATTGCTAATTATCGAGTGCAAGTGAAACACACCTCATTCAATCAATGATGCTCGCAACGCCGGTCAGAGATGGATGCAGTAGCTCTGGACTTCCTCTTATGTAGCACTTCTGTCCTATACTTTTTACCACACGTCATTTTAGCATTTATCTCGATGAGCGGGTGGCTGCATCTGCGATGTGACTTTCATGGTGGTCCTATAGTGAGTATAGCTGTCGAATGCATTCTCGTTTCCAAGGTTTGTTGCATGCAACTGAGCGTAATTTTGGGGCAAAGATGTATCGCGTATTGCTTTGGATAAATTAATTAGTTTTGTCGTTGAGTTACCTTTACTAGGCTGTCCGTTTGCGACCAACCCCTGTTCCATAGCCATCCGTGTAATCGAGACTTGTTTTTAAAAACCAACTTATAGACCCTGGACATTCTCAAACTATATGTTTCCTGCATTTTCTTTTCACATGACGATGAAGAATATGTTGATTCTCATGGATTGTGCTATTCAGCCCATTATCCATGTGCTACACAACAAGTTAGTCAGCGGCGGACAGATGTGTTCCTGATGACTTCATCTGCCATGCGTTCTTCTTCACTTATCAATTCGAGTGGGCATTGTATGTCGTGAACTCCTCTCCTTTACCCGTGTAGTTAGCACATGGCGCAGCCGACTGCCTAACTAGCATCTTAATGGATTCGCACACACCCGATTTTTACTAGCTTTGGGGCAACCTTCTGTGCACTTTCTACACACACCTGTCCACAGGCAACTCCCAAATAACATCTTGGGATGTGCTTAGAACCTATCGAGTATACACGATTTGAGAACAAATTACACAGTCAACCGATTTCACTTATTTCCCATCTAACGAGACATTGCTCTTTTGGATACAAACTCGCTTCGAACACGGAAATCTGCGAAGAGCTTCCTTCAGTCTGGTCACGTAGATATGATTGTAACCGTCACTTCCCTTCAGTTGTTTGGATAAGGCACTGACAAAATGAGCACCGAAAGATGTGCGTATTTCGTATTGCCTCATCAGTGCCAACAGTCACACCTTTCCGTGGGTATTGCCAAGCTAATCAAATGTAATAAGGTGAACGGTGGCTATGGCCCTAGCATCAGGGTAGCCTATAGTCAACAATTCATCGCTTTTGAACACACAAGGCAGGTCTTAGCTGGCTTATCTCCACGGCCTCGGCGAAGCGCAAGTAGCGTGGGTTAGCATGGTGTAATAAAATCCGAAACGCAGAGCCAAGGTCAACCCGATGACTGGTCACAAAAATACGCCAGCCTATTGGTAACGCTGGCGGCTTACGTGAACACGGAATATTGAACGAGGGTTAGTTGAACCCAGTTAGCCAGGTTCTCCTGTACTCTGGCATACAAACCCCTGTCGGTTCTGTCTATGTACCCGACTCCGCAGTTGCATTTAAATTGGTAAATACGGTATTGCTTGTTTTTGTGTTGTTACTGATGAGACAATATGAAATGTGATTGCCGTCTACAGTCTGCACGCACATGTGAGAATGCTTTTCCGTTTAAAGTGTTCCCCCGTCTGCGAAATTAGCCGACGGTGTTCAAACGACGCAAACTACGGCGCGTCAACAGCCGTACTACTCTCTCTAGTTTTTATGTTCCGCCGTCCCGTTGTCTTTTGCCTACACCGAACTACCCGGCACCTGATACACGGTGTGGCTTCATTACAAGAAATGTTGGAACTTGTTTGCTGTCAATGACGGCCTGTTTTCACTCCTACAATTTCGAATGGGGCACATAAACTAGCATGATTCGGGTCGGTGTCTTCGTGACTACCTGCTTACTGACTGATGACCATTTTAGCTTACACATTTTACTTTGAGTTGGTATGCGGCTCTGGTCACATTGTTCAGCAGCTCTACATTACATTTACATTTTTAATTTGGAGATTTCGCCCTTAATTTGCCAGCAAATTTCAATTTTTTATCGGTTTGTGATGATTCGCTGAGGGCTTCTATTTAATAAGTTGATTTACGCTTTTCTTCATGTTTTCCGCATTCCTGTTTACCGTAGCTTTCCTCGTGGTACAAAGCGATAGGCCTCGTTCTTCCGAACAAAACACGCTCTTCGAAAACAATTGCGCAGCCGAAGGACATTTGTGGTGCGGGAAACGGTGATTCGCTCCACCTGCAGAACCACGTGAGACGTGAACTCGCATTCGTCTCACCAGACAGACACGAAGATAACGTCGTGACGCTCGCCATTTCCGGTTAGTATTGTTTTTTGTTGCTCTGTCAACCCGTTTGAAATTCGATTGCTTATCTCTTGTGCTTTTAAATGGTTTGCTGAAGATGAACTGGAAGGCAATGTGGTCACTACTTTCTTTGTTGGCACGTTATGTACTCTGTTTCGTTTCCGACTTGCTGCTATTTGGTACGTATCCCCAAAACATTTTCTCAAACCTGTTGAGTAACGCGCAGTAACTCTTTGTGGACTCACACTTATCAGGCCGCCTAAGCAGTTTGGTTAATATCTGTGTCCATCAGACATGTTCACCCGCTTAGTTAGTTAGTCTCGGGTATACGCGGGTTACTGGCGCGTTTGGTCTGCCGTTACCTCTTTACGCTCGCGTCGGTGTGACATGGGTCTATTGTTAAATAAGTACACACTCCTTGGCCAGATTAAAACCTACTGTCTTGTGGTGCCTGCGACCCCTCGGTCCTGCGTCGCTTTCTTTGTTGCAACACACCCTCGCACCTGCCTGAGTCTAACACCGAATACCGCATCTACCCAATACGACTTTTAACAGTTGGGTTAGCGTGGATCGAAGTTCGCATAATTGTGTTGTGTCTTCATACATTCTACAAGACTCTGTGCGAGTTTCGGGCTAGTCACACACAAAGTGCAACATCTCATCTGCTGTCACTCACTATCTATTCGTTAGCTTTGGTTTCTAGTGTATTAGATTCCTACTTCTGCAATTTTAACCTGGCTCTTTGTGGACCGACATCACGATACGATGGATTGTTAGACAAGCGACGTCTTCCTCTCTGAGTCTGTCGCTAATCTACATTAAAACAACAGTTTCAGGCGGTTGAGTTAGAGCACCTCACTTCCTCCCTGCGAACCAGCAATTCAAACCCTTCCAGTTGACCTATAAGTTAGGTTCACCACCGTTGGAACCCCTTGCTACGAAGTCTGTTCGTGCTATATGTCCATCGTCTGATCCATTATTTCATTATTGATGCATATCTGAACTGATCAGATAATTGAATTTAATATGTTTCCATTTCCATGGTAATGCTCACGTTTACTGGCCTTCGGGATTAACTCCGACCACATCGGATACGGAATATTAACGCCTGCTTACTCATATCGGGATTCAGGACGCATTGGAACATCTCCCACTCGAGAAATACGCGCATGGTCTGATGACTTTAAACCATGTGCTTTTACAACGTCCTTACAATGTATGTGTCACCCGAGAAGCTTCGACTTGGAATTGTTGGTGTTTACCCGAACGGTATGCTGTCGTTCTGTCACTTTACCCTTTCAAGTCATCTGTGTCGCGAGTGCTCAACTGTGTGAATGAGTGCACTTGCGGTTACCTGCACAGCTTGGCCTGATGCACAACTTCCAATCTGTCCTTATCCTTCTAAACTCAAGCTCACAGTATGTGTGGAACCTCTTATCTGTCTCCAGTATAAGATTAGCAGCCTTTTCCGCTATTCTGCGCATCAGTACGTGCACACTCTTATAGACCACGATGGATCCAACGTGTTGGGTTTTAACACTCGGACGCATTGACTGGACGAAATTTCTGGTCTTAGGCATTTAGTGTTTCTTGTTGGGATGCTGTTTCTCTTGGCTTCGGCTCTTTTCGACTGTTCAAGTGTACTCAGAGTACTTAAACCCGACAAACCCAGTTTCCCCTATTCAAACAGCCGTGAGAATGAAGGATGGATGCGTAAGTGGGTTGCAAAAACGACCGAATCGTCGGACGGAGCAATTATTGGCTGAAAGCAGCCGGTAGAATATGAGAGCAACGCTAGGATGTTTGGTCGCGCATCTTTTGTCCAGACGGAAGGCACTAACTGGTGCTACTCAGTCCCTCCGGTTAGTTTCTTAAGATTTCTTTTTGACGTGCCATCTACCAGTAACCTTAATACACTTCCCACCTGGGCACAATGTTTGCACGCAACACACGATGTGGCGGCGATCAGCTGGCATGCGATGTGAACAACACATCCAAAAACTGCGGTTCCACTTCTTAAGATTATCCAGTTTGACAAACTAAGGTCTGTTGTCAAATACCTGTAGGCGGACTTCAACGCAGTGGCGTTGACCGTAATGTACCTTTTCACGCTTAGCATTTAACCGGTAAGTTATTACCACACAGTCCTCACTGATAATCCCGCCTATGAAATTCCGCAGTCACCTCTCCTTGATTATTTAGCCACCGGACTTGATTAACCAACTTGGCACTTTTCAGCGAAAATGTGTCACTGATTCCCGGGACTACACTTATTAATTTGAAGATGCAAAGCACCTGCTGACGCGTGTACTATTCCTTGTCATCAGGTTCTGCAACAATGCTTGTGTAGGTGGTGGACCATATCGTCCACGTAACCCAAAGTTAGGAAACGGTCACTCTGCTTATGTCCATACCAGTTGAGACCTGTCCGGTGGTCCATCGTTTACCCACGAAGATTGTTTACCACATGCTGCATGCTTCTCTGGCTTAGATACGATATGCCCTTGGTTGGTTTTGTTTATGCTTGATTGACCTTGTCCGTAAGACTGGAAGAGTAATGTTTCTACTTCAAATAACTATGACACAGATCACTGCCTTCTATCATTATTGCCCCCTGGGTAGTAGCTAAATTTCATTCACAACCACCCGATATGCGTTGCACATGTCATTTTTATCTCGCTGGGTTTGGGATCACACGACACAATAGTGGTGTTGGGATCACTGTCAGTTGAGAACATACGGTAGTTTTCCCACGACCATGCGGTCATTTGCGCGCGAATTTTAATCGTCAGTTGGCATACATTATACACACCGTCGGTTATAAGACCGATGTTGAACATTTTATCGAAGAAAATGCTGTCGATTCATTTATGTCAAGCGACATGCATTGTACCGGTAAGCACTGTTCCTCTCGCATGCACTATCTCGTCACTTACTGTTCTGCATGGCTACTTTCGCTCCTCTACTTCTGTATATCTTTCTACTCGGAACCACCATAGGGCTTTCAAGTATGACGAACCTCTTCGAGTCTCTGTTCTCCGTTTCCAAACCCGCTTCTGTCGAGCATCACCCTGAGCGCTGCTTTTATGCACCCAGGATAACATCACGTTGCACACTGCAATGCACGCCTATTACTGTACGATTTACAATCTAGGTGACGACACGCGATTGATCGATAGGTCATGTAACCCTGTGCTGGGTTGGGCGGCGTACGTATACACTTTAGGACAAAATTCCGATTTCCGCTCCATATATTTCCTGGATTAGACATGCCCGTCGCGACGATAACTTCTGGGGAGGGCTCGTTCGTCGCCGTGAGGTTAGACTTTAAAGTGCCGCAACGATTTGTGTGCGTCTCCGACACATTGCGCTTTGTTCTCGAACACGTTGAGCGCCAGTCTTAACAAAATGGCTAAAACTCGGACTATCTCAGGCACCTAGCCCCCAGATTAGGAGTTTAAACCGTGATGGCACCCACGTTTGTTAAAATATCCCGTCTTATTGGTCATGATCATATTCCTGGTGCCTTGAAATCAGGCTTTTGTATCAACGGCTTCGGACGATGGCTCTTATTATTCCGTTGTCCCGGTTTGGGCACCATTACTGCATTTTTGGCCGCATACAACCGGGGCTTTCCAAATAAGCACTCATTCCGAATCGGCTCTCACGATATTTCCAAAGGTACATTCAATCGCATCTATCCATTCCTCTCACATTTCTCCTGACCCCTCTTACAGACTTTCTTTCCTTTGTTCTCAGTATTGGTAACGGTAGTCGCTGTTATGCTCAATCCCTCACCATACGTACCTGTGTAACCATGGCACTTCGTATCCCCTTGTCACGCTACCTCGTCGCGGTACCTGATGCTGCATATCCGTACGGTCTATGAAGTTGCTGGTGCATAAAAGAAAACTCACTCTAGCTCTATGAACAATGCAACTAAGCAGGCCACTGGGCACTGGCTAAAACGGGCCCAACGTGAATCTGACTAATCCATGGGTTTATGGACTGGCGAAGACGGGGTCAACGGTTACTTTTTGCTTGCTACTCCTTAGTCTCAAGAACATGTTAATATGACACTCTTACCGCGATTCACATTGAGGAAATCGGTTTGACTCGCAGGGTGAAACACTTTCAGGAGTGATTTAGTTGATTTACTGTTTCTGAACCACACACTGTGGACAATTACCGGCCGATTTGTCCTACCTCTGTTTTGGCGACGGTGCTTGAGAAGATTGTGAAAACTTGTCTTCTCCAGCGCCTGGAGTCAAAAGATCTTCTAACGCCGGCACAGCATGGCTTCCTGAAGAGCCGCTCTGCATCACCAACCTGCTGTTATCGCGACATGCATGATTGCAAGCTTTGGACCGGGGGAGGTCAGTGGATGTTATCTACACTGATTTAGATGGGAACACCGCGTGAGCAACGAGCGTGTTCGACGCTTTGTTTTTGGCACTGGAAAAGAAAATGAACTGCTCAGCACTGTTATTTCACGCACCAGGCTCCGATGGCTCGGCCACATGTTGCGCATGCCTGCCCACCGACTCCCGCGACGTGCGTTGTTTGCGCGCCGGGAGTGTGGATGGAAGAAGAAGAGGGTTGGCCAAGCGATGACTTGGTCTAGAGGAATGAAGGCCCTCACTTCTGAGCTGGCCTCGGTTGAAGCGTCTCGGCTCCCTGGTTGGGGTCCAAAAGACGACGAACACGTTTGGCTGGATACACTTGTTGTTATGGCTAGGAGCCGACCTCAGTGGCGTTCGTGCTGTGAGTTTCTTTGTCCCACTCCATCCTTCTTAGCTTCCCCCTCCAACCACGATCTCATTATTTAGCACTTTATAATTTTGCAAAGTAACTTTTTTCCGCTACATAGTATCCGGCAGATAGCTTGCCGGAGCGATGCCCATCCGTTACCGGTAGCTCAGCTGGCTTGCACCTGTTGCATTTCATTCTCTTTCTTTTAGATATTGCGGCACAATAGCTGAGGTGTTTCCCACTTCTAACTACCGTGTATAGTG